CGTGTTTTTTGTTTGCATTTTGACCGTGGTTAATGCACACATGATTCCCTGTAAACAGGCTTCAGTTTTGATAATTGTTTTTTTACCCTTTTATCTGGCAACAAAACTGACACCTTTTTTTTGCCAGATAAAAGGGTAAAAACCAATTATCATATTTTTTACTGGCAAATGAGGTACCAAAGGCTTCGGTTTTGTTGCCAGAAAAAAGGGGAAAACCCCCTATTATTTAGGAAAATTGCTTAACCTGTATGGGAATAAAACAGGAGTAGTGTTAAGATGTTCGAAAACCAAATATAATTTTTTTGCAAGGAATCAAGTGCGTTAACCACAGAGTACTTATGGTGAACATGGAAACAAACATGGTGTGATAATATATTTTATTGTCAGAAAAGGTAAAACCTATTGTTACTTTTCTTTTTTGAAAATGTAACTTTTTTTTGGGTTAGATGGCGTAAATATAAACGTGTCGTTAAACCCGCCGACAGACAATCAGTAAGGTTTGTCAGGTAAACCGAACGTGCCAATTCGTTACTAGTTCAGAACTAACTGGTGTGTTGGAGAGTAAATCCACAACATTTACAATCTGAGTACGACTTTTCGCCAGTAATTGCAACCGGCATCATCAGGCAAAAACATATTTGCGCGATCTAACCCCAAAAACAAACCTCTTATGGATGATATTGGTCCACGAAAGCCTCCTACGAAGTGTTAAATTGAATATTTTAATCACTGAAAATATATTTTTTTATTTAGGAAAAATATCTTACAATCTTTTTTTCTCGAGCGCATAACTGAAACTCACAGCGAAAGTGCGAAGTATGTCCCTAAAAGACGAATTGTGTAACTACAAATTCGCGCTCTGGAGCAGAAGGCCGAAGGTTTGCGTTAATACGAGGAACGCCGGTATTTTATTAAAAAGAACAGTTTAACACGGAGGCTTTCGCGACCACAAATGTGGCTGCCGCCTGATGATGCCGGTTGTAATTATTGGCGAAACGTCATCCTCGGATTGTAAATGTTGTGCGTTTACTCTGCAACACACCGGTTAGTACTGAACTAGTAACGAATTGGCACGTTCTGTTTCCGTGACAAACCTTACCGATTGGCTGTGCCGGGTTTAACGACACGTTTATATTTACGCGATCTAACCCCAACAAAAAAAAACTCGATTATGGATTTTTAAAAAAATCTTATTGATGGACCCTCATACAATCCGGCCACACCGTTCTTCACACGAGCAACTTTGATTTCTCCACACCAATGCCCCCCCCCTATCCCATACGTGCTCATGCAATGCCTCGCCACCGTCGGCGAAGAGCCGAGCCTGCAGCATCGCCACCCCGAGGGTGGAGCAGCGGTCCACACCGATTCTTGGTCGATTATTATGCTCTGTGTACACGCATCATCGCATCGCGCGCGCGTAAGAGATATTTTCGATTCGTGTTGTGTGTAATGTGTCGCCCCCACCCCCCCACGCCTTGCCCATCTGCAGCCCTGATGAGATGCTACCATTCACCATCGTCGTCACCAACAGCCATGATCCCGCTGCGTCACAGAGACCACGTGCGTTGCACCACCACCAACCTCCCGCCACCACCCACGCCACCACCACTGAGCACTGCCTCCACAGCAGAGGTCGCAAACGGGTTTTGATTCCTTACCCGTACCCGGCCGCACCAGGGTCGCAAATGGCTACCCGTACCCGGCCGGGTACGGGTAGCCGTTCCCTACCCGTACCCGTACCCTACCCGAAATAAGTGACAAACGGCTACTTACCAGTGACTCACGGCCTACCCGTACCCGTACCCGGCCGCACCAGGGTCACAAACGGCTACCCGTACCCGGCCGGGTATGGGTAGCCGGGTATCGGGTAGGGTACGGGTATCGGGTACCCGGTTGCGACCTCTGCTCCACAGTGCAGCGTCACAAAGGCCACGTACGAAGCCACCGCTACCACCCATCGCCACCACCACCCACTTACACCACCACCCACTTACACCACCACCCACTTACACCACCACCACCACCCACTTACACCACCACCCACCGACACCACCCATCACCGCCACCACTACCCACTTATACCACCACCACCCACCGACGCCACCCACCGACACCGCTTCTTGTCATCTCGACGCGTTGCCCATCCAGCAGTGGGTTGACGGTGTGCGATGACGGTGTGCGATGACGACGATGGTCCAAGCTGTTGGTGCGTCTCTATCATTGCCACGTTAGTGTAGTCCAACGGTGATATCACGGGAGAAGAAAAAAATGTTTTGAATTATTAAATGTTGACAATTTTTTGTTAAAAAATAAAATGATGAACTGTCGTATAAGACCCTTTTTGTTGTTGTTATCGTGATTGGAAGTGCTTTATTAACTTAACCGGACAACACTAGTAAACAAACTCAACACGTCTGTGCGAGCTTCTGGTGGCCACATGAGTCGTGAGTGCGTGACCTTAAAAAGGGAATACATATACAGTATATAGTAGGGTCTAAGGCTTTGACAAGATTAGTTGTTCAAGTGAACCTGAACCCTGTCCATCCGATTCATCGCTCTGGTGAGTTAGTACTCGTGTAGTGACATAGAATCGGTCACGTAGCAGCATAGCGCTGGCTGCTGGTGGGGAAGGGGATCTGCAGCTTACAGCGGCCCTGACTGACAGCAGGTCACGTGATAGACCCGAGAGGGATGTAGGGGAAAGGTCACGGAAGGGGCACATCGAGAACCCGCTAGTAGGTTGCAGAAGGGGGCCAGGCCACGCTGACGGTATAAGAGGGGCCCCGGGAGGGGAGCTCGGGGCTGTCGTGTGGAGTGAGGGGGTCACCGTCGTGCTGCTGCCGGAGTCTTCACCGTCTTGGCTTCGCCAGTCAGGCAGTCTACCAGCTGTGAACTGTTAAGGCCGTTTAAACACATTCCTGCGGAGGGAACGTTGGGTTGCTCGGTCAATGGCCAGGGTCAACGGCGGCGTGGTGTATTCCGCAAATATGGTCGATTGTGAGGGCGGGCACAAGCCGGCGTGAGTAGGTTAAACGTTGAGTTTTATAAGGGCACCACGGGGTGACCAGCCCCTCCCCACCCAGCCCCACCCCTCCCACCCCCCACCCAGCCCCTCCCCACCCAGTCCCTCCCCACCCTCTCAGGCACTGAGACCACAATGAGTGGTCTCAGTGCCTGAGACCACAATGAGTGCCTTAGCCTGGCTCTATGAGACCAATGGACCCTTAGAATTCTGTCTAGACCACAGGGGGTGACTTTAAAAACAACAAGATTACATACTTACATTGCATACATAGCATACATCGCATACGTGTCGTGTAATAGCGCCGGCTGGTGAACAGCAGCGGCAGCTGTGGTGGACAGACAGGACACACGCCAGTGAGCGTGTGCACGGTGTGTGTTGGCAGAGTGGAGGAACTAGGGCAAGGGTCATGGAGGACCCCATCTGGAGGCCCCTGGAACTTGCTAGCGGGTTCCAGAAGGGAGGCGTGGTCAGGGCGGGGTCAGGCTGCGCTGGGAGGATAAAAGGAGCCGAGAGCGGGGAGCTCGAGGCTGCCGGTTCTGGGAGTGGACTCGTCTCGTCGTCGCTGTTGTCTTCGCTAGACATTGCGTTGCAGGAAGTTGTTGGTCTATCTCAGTAAGCGCCGTCAGTGTTCGATGGCTAGTGTTGTGTACAGGCTGGGCTAAGTAACTGCGGAAAGTATGGGGACGAGACCGTGGAAGTTGTTTAATAAAGAAGGTGCCTCCTAGAAATTCTGTCTCTGAATCGTTGACACTTTACATACACATACATCGCACACATACACTACACACATATTTCTAGATTTGAAGCTTTCGTGACTGCAAAGATTCATATTCTTAGGTTTTTTCGGTTAAGTCACGTAAGTAAAACATCAAAATAAAAATAAAATAAAAATAAAATAAAAAAATCACGACGTTTCAGAGGCAACACAGGTCCCACCTGATGACGGAGACTTGTGTTGCCTCCGAAACGTCGTGATTTTTTTTTTTTTTTTTTTTTTTTTTTTTTTATTTTGATGTTTTACTTACGTGACTTAACCGAAAAAACCTAAGAATACTACACACATACACTACACACACTACACATACATAACGCCACGAAGCAGTCTCTAAAGAGCCGCATGCAGCTTCTGAGCTGCAGTTTTCCCACCCCTGGCCTTGAGAACGCATTCGTTTGGATCTATGAGCCTTTGGTATCACGAATCCTGAGCGAGGCTCTTACAAGTCTTGCCTTGTGAGTCCGTGAGTCTCTGTAAGTGTGGTTGTGAGTCTGCCAGTCTCTGTGAGTCTATGTGAGTCTGTCTCTGTGTGAGTCTCTGTCTCTGTGTCGTTGTGAGTCTGTGAGTCTCTGTGAGTCTATGTGAGTCTGTCTCTGTGTGAGTCTCTGTGAGTGTCTGTCTCTGTGTTAGTCTGTGTGAGTCTTTGTGAGTCTAAGTCTGTGTGAGTCTCTCTGAGTCTATGTGTGTCTCTGTGCGTCTCTATAAGTGTCGCCGAGTCTGTGTGAGAAGTGTGAGTCTCTCTAAGTCTGTGAGTCTGTGTAAGTCTCAAAGTCTGTGTAAGCCTTTGTGAGTCTCTGCGAGTCTGTATAAGTATCTTGGTGAGTCTGTGTGTGTGTGAATCTGTGTTTGTGTGTGTGTCTGTGTGAGTGTGAGTCTGTGTGTGTGTGAATCTGTGTGTGTATGAATCTGTGTGTGTGTGTCTGTGTGTGTGTGAATCTGTGTGTGTGTGAGTGTGTGTGTCTGTGTGTGTATGAATCTGTGTGTGTGTGAGTGTGTGTGTCTGTGTGTGTATGAATCTGTGAGTGTGAGTCTGTGTGTGAGTGAATCTGTGTGTGTGAGTGTGTGTGTGTGAATCTGTGTGTGTGAGTGTGTGTGTCTGTGTGTGTGTCTGTGTGTGTGAATCTGTTCGGCCGGATCGAGGGGGCTAGACGGGCGCGGCACGGGCTGGAGAAGAGATGGAGTGATGTGGTACAGGAGGACGTGGAGCTGAGTGGACTTGCCGATGACTGGTACCAGCGGTGTCAAGATCGGCCTCAGTGGAGGAGGCTCGTGAAGGACGCTACTGGGCAGTTGGAGGCAGTCGCCCTCCAACAACAACGGAGGGCGGAGGAGCGACGCTCACAACAACGAGCGGAGCGCCGGGTGGCTAAAGCACAGCAAGTCGGCACAGTAGGGGGCACAGGTGGTGCATCAGCCAGTCATCTCAGTCATCTCGGTCAGTCGACCCGTGGCACCTGCTGGGTCTGCCCCGTGACCTCCTGCCAGCGGGCTTTCGACACTTCACGTGGCCTCAAGGTGCACTTGGCCTGGCACAAGCATCGTGGTGACGTCACCGCCACTTAGTGGCGAATGGCGGGTGTTGTTGTTGTGAATCTGTGTGTGTGTGAATCTGTGTGTGTGAGTGTGTGTCTGTGTGTGTGTCTGTGTGAGTGAATCTGTGTGTGTGAGTGTGTGTCTGTGTGTGTGTCTGTGTGAGTGAATCTGTGTGTGTGAGTGTGTGTCTGTGTGTGTGTCTGTGTGAGTGAATCTGTGTGTGTGAGTGTGTGTCTGTGTGTGTGTCTGTGTGAGTGAAAGTGTGAGTGTGTGTGTCTGTGTGTGTGTCTGTGTGAGTGAATCTGTGTGTGTGAGTGTGTGTCTGTGTGTGTGTCTGTGTGAGTGAATCTGTGTGTGTGAGTGTGTGTCTGTGTGTGTGTCTGTGTGAGTGAATCTGTGTGTGTGAGTGTGTGTCTGTGTGTGTGTCTGTGTGAGTGAATCTGTGTGTGTGAGTGTGTGTCTGTGTGTGTGTCTGTGTGAGTGAATCTGTGTGTGTGAGTGTGTGTCTGTGTGTGTGTCTGTGTGAGTGAAAGTGTGAGTGTGTGTGTCTGTGTGTGTGTCAGCTCCGCCAGCGACCGCCTCCGCCGCGCCCGCAGACGAACCCCACTCGGTGAGGGATCCACTCCGTCGCTCGCTCTTCTCAACACTTTGTAACTATTATAATTATTACTATAATCAGCGGTACGATTTGTTCCACACAATCCTTCGCGTCGAGACGACGACTGCTGTGTGTGGAGGGTTATTTAGTATTATTTGTGGTGAATGTCGCAGAGTTTAAGCGACGGGGGTGGCGTTTTAGTTCTGCAAAGGCCTGAGGCCTTGCATCGTACGTGGCGAGTTTAATTTAATTATTATTTGTTTTAAATTGTGACATTGTATTTGTAACGTGCGATTCGTGTACACACACACACTTATATACTGTTTATTGTTTTTAAACTCTGTTGGAGTTATGAGCTTGCGTCCGACTCGTCTGAGGCCTCTCGTTTAATGAGCAACTCTTTGAGTTTTAGCGGCGTTCTAAAGTCTTAAACGACTGTGTTGTAGAGTGGAAGTATGATATTGTAGAGTGAAAGTATGATATTGTAGAGTGAAATGACTATTGTAAAGTGAAAGTATTATATTGTAGAGTGGAAGTATGATATTGTAAGGTGAAAGAATGATATTGTAAAGTGAAATGACTGCATTGTAAAGTGAAAGTATGATATTGTAAAGTGAAAGTATGATATTGTAGAGTGAAAGTATGATATTGTGAAGTCAAATGACTGCATTGTAAAGTGAAAGTATGATATTGTAAAGTGAAAGTATGATATTGTAGAGTGAAAATATGATATTGTGAAGTCAAATGACTGCATTGTAAAGTGAAAGTATGATATTGTAAAGTGAAAGTATGATATTGTAACGTGGAAGTATGATATTGTAGAGTGGAAGTATGATGTTATTAAGTGAAATGACTGCATTTTTATGTTAAAGTATGATATTGTAAAGTGAAATGACTGCATTTTTAAGTGAAAGTATGATATTTTAAAGTGAAAGTATGATATTGTAAAGTGAAACGACTATCATAATTGTTTTTGTACCCTTCTATCTGGCAACAAAACTGACACCTTTTTTACAAGGAGTCATGTTTACATAGACCACAATACCTGCAGTCATAATGCAAACAAAAACCATAACTCTGATAATGTATGTGCACTGTCCTTGAAGTTGATTGGTCCACACCCGAGACAGCTTTTCTTAGAGCCGAGTCTCACATTGTGTTGGACCAGATGACGCCAAAAGGCGCACAACTCAAAGACAATGCACCATCAGAGTATGAGAGCTCGGGGTAAGCATTTACACCATTGGAACCTCATTTGCCAGTAAAAATATGATAATTGTTTTTTTTAGCCTTCTATTTGGCAACAAAACTGACACCTTTTTTATCATATTTTTACTGGCAAATGAGGTTCCAATGGTGAAACGACTATCATCAAGTCAAACGACTGCATTGTAAATTTGAAGCGATGCATCATTCGGAATTGCTACTCTGGTTTACACCAAACTGACGCATCTTCCACCATCACATTCATACGTTGCCATCGTGGTTAGTTCCTTACAAAGCGCCTTTGCTTAAGGCGATGTAAGCATTCAGTTAAGACAAGAAAGAGCCAGTGTTGAGAAAGCCAAAACAAAATCCACATTCTTATGGCATGGGGCCTCTATGGGTAACCATACGACAACCCGCTGTGTTGACTTTCTCTGAGTGGTGGTGTGGAGAGGGTTACTCGATTTATCGACCCCCCCCCCCCCGAGGGAGGAGGGATGATGGGCCACAAGCAGAATTTGAACTCGTTACCTGCGTTTGAGTTGCAACACTTTTGTGTTTTCAGGAAGAACCCAAAGACAAAAATGTGTCCACGTTTACGCCACGACACTCAAAGCTCCGCACAGATGGATTCGATTTCAGGAGGGGGGGGGTGGTGTTTAGTTAGGACGATAGTGCGATGTTCATTTCCCGGAGCCCTAGGCTCTTCTTTGGCTCTGCCATTCCTATGAACCCCTTATCAGTGTCCTCTACCTTATTACAGACAAGTTCAGACCGTAGTGGTGACCCCGTGCCCCCTTATACATCTCAACGTTCATCGTTCAAAGTGACCATCACAAGGGAGCAAGGCCGTAGCCGTGGAGTCAACATTGGGGGGGACCAAATCTTTTAGGGGATTCCCCCCCCCCCCAGAAAAAAAAATCTAAATTTGAAAAGGAATTTCCTGCCTAAAATATAAAAAAATTTCACTAACACATAGGATGGACTTTTTATTAATGTTTTACAATAATGTCTAATAGTGTATTGTATTACATTGCTCTGTATTTTCTTTTTTTTTTTACCTTTTCTTGTTTAACCACAATCATATAAACAGAAATCTATTTTATCCTAGTAGGAATCTCCTGGTCACACCAGCCCACAGGGGATTATTGTGTCCGTCGTGCAGGGACGGGCTGGGTGGGGAGGGAGGGAGGGGCTGGGGGCGGAGGGGAGCGAGGGGCTGGGTGGAGGGTGGGAGGGGTGGGGCTGGGTGGGGAGGGGTTGGTCATCCCGTGGTGCCCTTATAAAACTCAACGTTTAACCTACTCACGCCGGCTTGTGCCCGCCCTCACAGTCGGGCATATTTGCGGAACACACCACGCCGCCGTTGACCCTGCAGGCCATTGACCGAGCAACCCAACGTTCCTACCAGCTCCCTCCGCAGGAATGTGTTAGCAATATATTGGGGGGGGGGGTGTCCCACTTAATATATATTATAATTACGGCCTTGCAAGGGAGACACACAAAAAATAGACAAAACATTTTTTTGCCCGGATTGAAACGGCTGTACGCCGCATGGACCTGAAAACTCATCAATTTCCCTGCTACACAAGAATACGGAGCAAGCCGTGTTGAGTCCACAGCTGTGTGCTCTCTGTACAAGCAGTGGCAGCTCGTAACATCTCCACGAGATGGGGCTGTTGTGAGTGACCTCTGAAAATGTGGTGTTCTATCTTCTTGGTTCTTTCGGTAAAGTCACGTAGAAGGGAAGTAATAAAATAATACAAATAAAACATAATTTAGTTTTATGTTTTATTTTAATTTTTGTATTATTTTATTCCCTTCTACGTGACTTTACCGAAAGAACCAAGAAGATGAATCCCTGTGGTGTTCTAATTTCGAAAAAAAACCTCGCCATGTTATTGGCCTTCCCGTTTGATTGATACAACTGTCTTAGCTACCAACGGTAAGCATTTATAAACAATGTGAAACAAGACAAAGCACTCAAATGCTGTCCCCATGACCCTCAAGTCCACACCACACAACCCCCTTTGACGCTGACAAAAGCCGTGAGCTGCTATAGTTGCACAGTGCCACCTCGCGTTGTGACACCGCCCTGAATGGGTCTCAAACGGGTGGCCAAAATGCGAATCTCGTCGCGATGAATGAAGGGACATCTCTCACGCGAACTCCTTCACAGCCACCCCGAGACCTCCCCGCAAATCAGACAGCGGTGTTCCAGCGGTTTCTAATACGAACAACTTAATGTGTTATCTTCATTAGGCAATTCACGTTGAAAGAATTTTTTTTTTTAAACACAACAACATTTAAAATAAGTATTTTTATTCGAAAAATAATTTCTCGTCTCCAGCTGCTTGGTGGGTAGGTGCCCCACTGCCTATAGTAGACGAACCGCGCCTGTGTACATGTACAGTATTCTGACTTGCATAAGCATATACGTTGCGTAAGCTTTTATCTTCATAAACGTCGGCACACGCTGTGTCATCATTTGCTGTGTTTTGCTGCGCGTGTGTCACTTGAGATGATGGACCAAATCCGACGCAGACGTTCCATCTCGAGGGCTTATCCAGGGTAACACAAAAAGATTTGACGAAACTAAAAGAAGCGAACACTTTCTTCAAATCTCGTCGGGAAATATTTAAATCGCGTCTCTTTTTCCTTGTTGTCGTCCCCCCTTTCGCCCCGCGACGATGCACAGCGGCATGTGAACGCGAGTCCAACTCGGCCCCCGCCTGCCCTCCTCCTCGTGGCCCCCCGACTGCCCGACCCCCCCCCCCCTCCTCCGTCATGGAGTTCTACGAGCGGACGAGGGTGGAGCAGCTGCCCACGGGGCTGCCCTTCCCCTGGCTGCCCCCGGACGTCCCCATGGTCCACGTGGCCGAGGGCAGCCAGGAGCGCAGCGTGGTGACGCGCGTCCTGCGACACCTGAGCGACGGCGACGCTCGCCACGTGCTCCTGAGGTAAGAGCGAGACAGGACAGCTGGCGGGCTGGCGGGCTGGCGGGCGGGCGGGCTGGCTGGCTGGCAGGCGGGCGGGCGGGTGGGCGGGCTGGCGGGCTGGCTATGTGGGCAGGCTGGCTGGGTACACCTGCTCTGGGTTTTCGCCGTTTTGTTCCTTCTGAATGTTCTTCCGATACTAGGAAGCCACTGGGAGCTGTGGCACTTTTAAATCATCCGGGTTAAAAATGTAATTCTTTAGAACTGCTTTTTTGTGTCTAGTTGTTCTTCCTCCTCCGCACCTCCGATGAGCACGGTTGGCTACGTACGGTGCGAAAGAAATTCAACGTAGCTCTCGGGAAGTGTTTTCTGGTCACGCCGTGTGCTGTTCGGCACGGTGAACAGATCTTAGCAACCGACCAATCGAGCAGACCCACCTCTGGACTGCGCCGTCACAAAGAGCTGAGATCTAAAACGACGCGCGGCTTGTTGCGCGCGTGCGTAACGCGCCCCTTACGTTCGCTGCGCATGTGTGAACCTATCTGGCGGTGCGCCGTGGCGACGACGATGGCCGCACGCCGACTTCTTCGCCTGCGTCAACCGCGACCGTTCCGACGACGGCATCCAACTGTGGCGGCGGCGGCGGCGTCATCAGCGGCGCGGGGAGAGCAGGCGGCCGCGCGGTGTCGTGCTCCGACGCGGTGCTGCGCCGTGCCCCGGGCGCGCCGCTGCGCCGCGCGGTGAGCGCCGGCACGCGCGTCACGGCCGAGACGTGGGAGCCGCGCGCACGGGGCTGCGGCCTCGACACGCTGGTGGTGCGCCGCTCGGCGCACACCCTCACCGTGCTGCTCACCAAGGTGAGGGGCGGGGGGGGGGGCGTGGGCGTCGAGGGGCGGGGGGGACCGACGCCGCTGCCGCGCAACACGGCGGCAACACGGGCTCACGCCAACTCGGTCCCTGACTCTAACCCACACCCTGACTATAACCTTGACTTGATCCGTAACCTTGACTCTAACCCACACCCTGACTATAACCTTGACTCTAGCCATAACCCTGACTCTAACCCACAGTCTATGACCATAACCCTGACTCTAACACACACCCTGACTATAACCTTGACTCGATCTATAACCTTGACGAACCCACACCCTGACTCTATCCCTAACCCTGACCTTAACCCTGACCCTGACCTTAACCCTAACCCTCACTATACCCTGATCCTGACCCTGACTTTAACCCCAACTCTAACTTTGACCCTGACTCTAACCCTAACCCTCACTATAACCCTAACCCTGACTCCAACCTTGACCCCGCCACTTCGCAGGACGAGCTGCCGGCCGGCACAGGAGACCTGGACCTGCGTTCGATCGACGCCACCATCTTCTTCTCCGAGCCGAAGGCACCGGCAGGCGCTGGGCGGGCGGTGGACGCGGCGGCGACGGCGGCGGCGGCCGGGCAGGGAAGGGCAGGGAGAGGGGGGCGCGGGGGGCGCGGGGGGCACGGAGGGTGCGGGGGGAGGAGAGGGGGGAGAGGGTGGCAGAGGGAGCCACCGGTGGGAGGGGGGCACCACGGGGGGCACCACCGCCCTTGCCAGGGGGCGGAGGCGGCGCCCATGATGAGCTGACGAGGGCTGGAGGAGGAGGAGGCGTGGACATTTTTGGTCGTTTTCTTGCGGGGAGACGCGGCTCTTCCCCCGTTGCTACCGAGGGAGGCTGTTCATCCCGGGGCTGACGCACGAGGTGTGAAGCTTCCTGAAACGGGTATAAACGCTCTGAGGTGTTGCCAGCTATTGCACGGTAAACCCCGTCGGCGTCAAATTGTGGTCCTGCACTTAATTTGGACGAATTACAGCTCGTGAGAATTCCAAAAAGAAATTGGTTTTGCCAAATATTCCTCCCGTGCGGTGGAACGGGTGGGAAAGTGCCACCCCCTGCCGTTGTGTGGACCACACAGCACCATGAAGCGATCTCACAAATCGCTCTGCGATTATTGGCTTCTGCGTGGCGTCCGCTATGACGGGCGGGTGCGCTGTTCTGCGCGAGACCTGAATGGATACTTCCTCTTGTGACATGACACAGCACAATCGGGATAGTTTTGGGGGAAACTAAATGCAGGAGATTTTGACATCGATTAATAACTCGTGAATTTTCTCTTAAGCCCAAATTTATCATCTAAGAGCAGTTATACACTATTATTCTTGGAACTCTTTATTACAAGTCATGTGCTTAAACCGAACTCAACTTTCTTAACTTAAACGTAATTTAAACCCATATATTATCAGTTTTTGGCATAGAGATCCGTGAAAAATGGTTATATTTTTGTATTATCTGCGATTTTTTTATTATCTGCGGCCGTCCTCCCTGTCATTAGCGCGGATAATCGAGTCTAACGGGATATATTTTTAAAGGCTGCAGTGTGACATAATGATGCTATAGTGCATCATTGTCACACTTGTACGTTTTAATACTTCAGTGTGATGGTGGTGTGCTGGACAGCATTTGTGTTACAGAAACTCAACAGAGCCTAGGTACTTGCCAACAATATACGAACTCGGCATATCGTGAGCTTTAATACGTTTAGCACATCATTGTTCTACTTGTGCATTATTTCCTTGTGCGTTGAAGGGGATGGAGTGTCGATGGGCCACAATCGTTGCGCGAGGATCATTGGCGAGTGATTTAGGGTTAACTCAAACGCCAAGTTTACAGCCAGTGTATGTATGTTTAACTTATTTCGCATCGTACGTAGCCAACCGTGCTAATCGGAGGTGCGGCGGAAGGACAGCTACCGAGTGTGCAGGCGGTGTAACTGCACCGGGCCACGGGTCCGGGAGGGGGCGCTACACGACTCCATTTCATTCCTTGCACCCACCAGGGCCCATGCCAACCCACGCCACGCCATTCGCCAACTCGCCCCGTGTGTTTGTGCCCCCTCTCTTCACCGCTCGACTCGTGGATCTCACCCTGCCAGTGGCCGGGAGGGCTCTCTGTAGAGCGGGGTCCCGGCGTGCAGGAGGAGTGCTTTTGCCGGGAACGTCTTGTTAAGCCGGCGGCATTTGTTGAGCGAGCCCGACTCTCCTGGTGAGACCAGCACGGTTGATGCCGGCACAGAGTTTGCCCGATTTAAGCAAATGTTGTTGCGGGACGGATTATTTTTTGTCCCCCTTCTCTGAAAAGCCAATAGGCCGATGGGTAAAAGGGTGACATCCACAGCCGGTCGATCGGCAGGTTGCGTTTTGGCCAGATAAAAATGTGGGTTTAATTCCATCTCTTCCACGACGTCTGGCCGGCATGAATTAAGTCGGCCAAATCCCCTCCTCGAAGAGATATCCTCCAGAACAACCGTCTAGTGGAGACCCTTTCTGCCGGCAGTCGCTGTTGCACGGCCGCACCTCTAACCTATCGGTGCAGCTCGGCAACAGGAGGAGAGCGCTGGACGTGGCGGATATCGCGCTTCCTGAAATTGGCGCTGTCGAGACCACTTAAGTCACCCCCGCAAGTCATCCCCCCCAAGGAGCCCGATCACTCCACCCACTCCCAGCCGATTCCCCAGTCCTGCCCGGCCTGGGGAGATGAAACCAATTTCCTCGCAAATTGTCCGCTCATCAGAAGGGGCCCCCCACAGAGAACACACCCTGTGCGAGAGAGCCTCATGAATACTGCATTGTGGTGGTGGTGGTGTGGCTTTTTGTATTTGCGGGGTTTTTCAGATGTTGTCCTCTTTAATGATTTCGCAACCGAGATTGGGAGCATAAATGCATTAGCCTTCCGTCCAGCTGTAACATAGAGTCATGGTAACTGTTGTGGAGATTGATACAATGTAAACATAATCTTGTTTTACCGTGTTCTCCGGATTCTAAGACGCCCTGGGAAACAAGGACGCACCACATCGATAAAGCGACGCCAATGTGGACACACACAGCTACCAGATTATAAGACGCGTCACCAACTCACGGTTTTAAATTACAGGGGGACAAAAATAAATCTTCTTGGTTCTTTCGGTAAAGTCACGTAGTGGGCGAAACGTCGTGAGAATAATTTTATTATTTTTATTATTTCCCTTCTACGTGACTTTACCTAAAGAACCAAGAAGATGAATCCCTGCAGTCACGAAAGTTTTTAATCGAGACAAAAAGAAAGTTCGTCGTGCAATTCGGAGAATATGGTATAAAGTTGTGTTGCTATTCGGGACTTAACCGACAGTCCATGGGGCCACAGCAGAAATCGGTACCACCTAAGGTTAAGTCAGTTTATTATGTTGGGTTAACATAAGGCACTTTCCTAGCACAAATTGCCAACCCAGAGGTGGCAAAGCTTTTAGCAGTACCAACAATCTATTTACACGGCGAACATACGAATGGATTAAACAAGGGGCAGGGCGTGCATGCATAATGTATGTGCGTCGCACACGCGCGTTGTGCATGCACATTATGTATGTTGATTACCCCATGAATAACCCAACTGGGAATGGATATCCATTATAAATTATATGCATACATTTCGTCCCCCTCCCCTCTGGTGACGGCATCGCATGTATCCCTCTCTTTTAAGACCTGAAACAGGAGGATTTCTCCACAACTATAGCTAGCTGTCGCCTGATGATGCTGTTTGTGATTACCGGCGAAACGTCGTACTCGAATTGCAAATGTTGTGGGTTTACTCTCCAACACACCGGTGTGCTGTACTCGTAACGAATTGGCACGTTTTGTTTACGTGACAAACCTTACTGATTGGCTATCGGCTGGTGGCGGTTTTATATTTACGCGATCTAACCCAAAAACTCGCTCATTTCAAGTGGGCATTTATATAATTCACCGTTATTGGTCAAGAAGTTTGAACAACCTTTGAAGTGATGCCACCTCAGGTGGTGGCCGACCGGTGAAATTTCTGGCCCTGGCTCGCGGACTCCCGATAGAAAACCGGGCGACACGAACTTGGGCAAAATTTTCCGCAGCAAAAAAAAAAGACTTTCAGAAACCTTTTCCCATTTTAAAACTAAGCGCTAAACGGATAAGCCTATTTTCAGCAAAGGCGATGGACCTAGACCCTGAAGTCGCCATCCCGCTAGAGCACACACGCGCGCAAGATAGCGTCGTCATCACAAAATACACACTTGGGAATACGCGCGTTTTTTTCTTGTTACGTTTTTTTTTTCGAAGCTGTTAGAGCCACGTGGAATTGGCTTCCTGGTGTCTTAAAAGTGCCGCGCGGCGTCAACGTTGATGACGTTCGTTTTGAAAGGGCGGTGGCCGAATGGTTAAAGCCAACTGCTTGTTCACCTTCGTGGAGATCTGTTAGCCGAAGGGAGTGAGTGCCGTTCACTCTCGCTGGGGGATGGGGGGAGGCAGTCTACCTTCATCGAGATGTACGAATTGACTTGAGTGCAATTCACTTCCACCTCTTCTAGGACGTCCGGCCGGCGGGGAAGTCGGTCAAAATACCCTCTGGCTGGGCTCTCTAGCGGAGGTTCTTCCATCGGCGGTGTCGTCAGAATACGCTGCAGTGCCTGCAGCTTTGCCATCTCATACTATTAATCGCAACCGGGTACCCGATACCCGTACCCTACCCGATACCCAGCTACCCGTACCCGGCCAGGTACGGGTACCCGTTTGCGACCCTGGTGCGGCCGGGTACGGGTACGGGTACGCCGTGAGTAACTGGTGAGTAACCGTTTGTCACTCATTTCCCAACGTCTTGTCTCTTCTCACAATTCAAGTTCCTAGAATCAACCCACCCGCGCCTGCAACATGGCTTCATCCCAGAGGTCGCAATCAGGTACCCGTTTGCGACCCTGGTGCGGCCGGGTACGGGTACAGGTAAGGAATCAAAACCCGTTTGCGACCTCTGTCTCATACGCAACAGATTCGGTCATCTTTGCGAGTTGCACACCCAAAGGGGGGCAACGCTTGCCCCGGAAGTAACGCCCTCCTATCTTGGCTCTGCCGATAACTCGGTGCGCCGATGCCGCGCTGTAAATATCCACGCCGATGTCGCGGATCCCTTGCACTTGAGGTCGTCACTTGGAACCAGGGCCCGGCGTTCATCACGTCATTAGGATTCCGTCGGCACCCGCGTAGCCTTTGGCAAACAGCCGTCACCACGGCGCCTCCGATCAGCACGGAGGTGCAGGGTTCACCGCCGAGGTCGTGCGAGGTCTGGCGTTGTCGTGCTTGGCAATCGTTGTGTTAGAGGAGGCGGCAGGGGGAGAGGGCTTCTCTATTTCTGCCATCTGGTAAATGGTCATGACATTCTCGAGAAAGAATATTTTACTGTTTATTCGGTGCAATAAAAACGTACGGAGTGGATACATTGAAGGCGTTACTTTTTAGCGGTCCCCGCTTGTATTTTGGGGGAAAAAATACCGACGGGGACTTGGGCCACGCGGGCACCCCCCCAGCGCGTCACCCCGCGCGTCCGTGGCGCCCGTGCAACGTTTGCACAGCGTTTGCTGAAACACGGTCGAGACACTTCCATTCACGCGAACACGTATTGACATCCATAATCGAGGTTTTTTGGGTTAATACGCGATCTAACCCAAAAACTCTCTTACGGGTGATATTGTTCGCGAAAGCCTCTGTGTTAAACTGACGTATGTACGTTGAGCCTATTTCCGCGCCGTACGTAGCCAACTTGTGCACATGACGTGTCTGTATATATACGCGTGCGTGTATATTTATACGGGGTATGTACACAAAGTATTTTGTACATCGTGTGTATATGTGAAAGCAAATCCGGCCGGCCTTGTTTTACACTAGAGTCGGCGGTTGTGAGCCAATTCCCACATTTGTAAAATTGCGCGCGGCTAATTTAGGAACAATTAAGTATCAGCTGTAAGTATTTTCTCTCTCTGGTCTTTCTTGATAAAGGAAAGATCATGGATCTCAATGTCTTCTTGCCCGGGTAAATAAAACGCCGATGAATTTCCGTTTCGTAGTGAATGGCGCTTGCGCGTGTGTGCATGTGCGCGAGTGTGGAGCGGTGGTGCAACGGTGAACGAGCTGCGGCGTGACGACCCGAGTTCGATTCCCGCTCAAGGCCAGCACTAGTGACTTATCTGAACCGGTCCTGGGCCTCCCCTAGGTCGGCTCAGCCTCAAACGAGTACCTGGTGCGGTGTGTAGTAAACATCGCCACTGGGGAGACAATGACGGCCAGGTATGGTGCTGGCCACCCACCCCCTCGTGTGCCGTGCCGGCCTTCATAGGTGCTACTCGCTAACAGCGCTTGCCCCAACAGTTTTTTCAAGGATATTACAGGGGGGGTGAGGGATGGGGATGTTTGCCTCTGCTGTAATCAAAGCTTCTGTTAACTCACAGTCGTCTGAACGCAGAACAGTGTGGAGCGGTAGTGCAGTGGTGGGCTCGCTGCATTGTGAGCGTGGCCACTAGAGCTCGCAAGCGTGGCGAAGTGTGGTCGGACAACCACATTGTGACCAACGCGGCCTTGGGGGCCTTGGGGATTTTGGGGGGAGGAGGGGGGCCTTCATCCAGCAGTGGATTGGCCGGCAAGGACTGCAAATTGAGCTCTCAATCGGAACGTTGTGTCCGATTTGCGACAAAATGCGCGCGCGCGTTATGAATTGCGTTTGTCATTCGTGCGACGGTACAGTATTCTGATTCGCATTACGAGCACAGGGCGAGCGGTGCAGAGGAGAGGCGGGGGGGGTTGTGTTAAAGGAGACGCGGACCCCCCCCCCCCCGCCCGTAGTACCTGTGTGTGTGTGTGGTCTCTTCTCCAGATATTGCAGCAATAATTCACCCGTCCGGCTTCCGCAGTCTGCCCGTAGCATGCGAGTGACGACCGTGGCACGTTTGCTCGCCGGATGATGCCAAATTGCCAAATCGCGCAGCGTCGCAAGAACGCTCGGTTGGGCGATCCGCTCGGTGTACCGATGCCCGGGCCCCGTGTAAACGCGACCGTATTCGTAAGTGTTGGGTACGGGACTTTGAACCGATGATCAGAGGTTGCAACCGGGTACCCGATACCCGTACCCTACCCGATACCCGGCTACCCGTACCCGGCCGGGTACGGGTACCCGTTTGCGACCCTGGTGCGGCCGGGTACGGGTACGGGTAGGCCGTGAGTCACTGGTGAGTAACTGTTTGTCACTCATTTCCCAACGTCTTGTCTCTTCTCACAATTCAAGTTCCTAGAATCAACCCACCCGCGCCTGCAACATGGCTTCATCCCAGAGGTCGCAATCAGGTACCCGATACCCGTACCCGGCCGGTTACGGGTAGGGTACGGGTACGGCCGGGTACGGGTACCCGTTTGCGACCCTGGTGCGGCCGGGTACGGGTAAGAAATCAAAACCCGTTTGCGACCTCTGGTGCGGCCGGGTACGGGTACGGGTAAGGAATCAAAACCCGTTTGCGACCTCTGGTGCGGCCGGGTACGGGTACGGGTACGGGTAAGGAATCAAAACCCGTTTGCGACCTCTGCCGATGATACAAGAACGTCGTTAGGCCGACCGTGACGACCCCCCAATGGGGGGTTGTCATTTTTGAAAGGAGGCCCAATTTCGAATATTTAAAGTTTTCATTAGTTTTTTTTATATACTGCATGGCGTTAGCTATTCGCGCGCTTCCATCGCGAGAAATTACTGTCGCTCACAAACGTAGGTTCTGTATAACAGTGATTATCAGCCCTCTGTCAGTCCGCTACAGCATGAAGGCCCCTCCCCCCCACGCCGTGTCGGCCTTGGGGGATTGTTTGGCCATACTTCATGATTTTGTCATTATTGGTTGGTGATGGTCGTGGTCGTACCGGTTCAGATATCGCTCGCCACCGACATCACCCTTGACCTGGAATCAAACTCAGGTTGCCGGCTTCGGAGTTCAATATGTGAAAGATTGCGCGACAGTTTCCACCAAAATTTGAATTCCAAGTGTTTACCCGGCAGAGTCTCACAGACTCCCAGCTTTTTTGATCTAAGGGTGCAATTTCCCGCATGCAGCATGGAGAGAGGGGCCCGTCCTGTAGCGACCCCCATCCCATAACGACGCCTCCCGTAGCGTCCCGCACCGGTCCCGCTCGGCAGATGCTGCTGATCCAATGTTGAAACTCCAACGATGCGGCTTCAACCCCGACGAAGCTCGGAGAGCTGAGTGGAGTTTCAAAAGAACTCCAAAAACCAACACCTTGCGAAAGACCCAACGCAGAAGATCCCCGGTTTTGATCCCTGCCGGGCCTGGATTGCCACTCCGGCTCGCTACCCATTGTATGCCACGGCAGCATCTCTTTATATAAAGTAGCTCACACCATTTCGATTTAAAGCTTTCGTGACTGCAGGGATTCATCTTCTTGGTTCTTTCGGTAAAGTCACGTAGAATGGAAATAATAAAATAATAATAAAACATAATAAAAATAATTCTCACGACGTTTCGGCCACAACGCAAGCAGCCGTCCTCAGGTGGAGAGCAGGTCTGTCGACAAGACAGAGTAAGACAGAGACACATTCAGACTCTGTCTCCTCGACAGACCTGCTCTCCACCTGAGGACGGCTGCTTGCGTTGTGGCCGAAACGTCGTGAGAATTATTTTATTATGTTTTATTTTTTATATTTTATTATTTCCATTCTACGTGACTTTACCGAAAGAACCAAGAAGATAGCTCACACCACCACACAGGTCTCTGGAAGAATAGTAGCCGAGTTGTGGTTACTAACATTGCGATTAATGGCAACGCCTCCTCGTTGCTCCACGGGCGACGTGAACCCCACGAGGTGTCGCGTCCACGACCCTCGAACGACGTCGACTCCGGCACGCGAGCGATTCGGAGCGCGCTCGCGCGTGAGCGTCGAGCGACGCTCGTCGACGAATTTCTGCATCATTGCACCCCCCCCCCTCCCGCTTGCTGGCTACAGCACTGCGAGAAATGTTCAACTCTGCCCAGAAATGTGCAATGCCCCCCCCCCCGCCTTGGAGCCGCACACACGAGTGCTGAGCAGTGCCGCCCCCAAACACTCACGGAGATGCGTTTAGCTGTGGAAAAACAATCTAAATCGGGTAACTACCTCCCAGGTTGTCATAATCGAGTCTGGTACAGTCACTGACAGCACCGCCAATTCCCCGTACACTCGAGAACACGGTTTAATCGCGAGTGGCTAAAACCCGGGTGTGCTGACTTGGTCGTTCCAACGTGGCTATTGTGAGAATCTTGAGCTTTTTTTAAATCCTTTATATTAAGTTCGCTTGCTTGCTTGCTTATGACCGTGCAAATCTTTCGGTCGTTTTTTAACCCACTTCCCGTGATCCAATCGAGCTGACATTTTGCACACAGACTCGTTGTGCGTGACAATTAATGTTCGTGAAAATTTTTTTCCAAAACGTTACACTTTTTAGGACAAAAATATTATATTTAATTACCAATTGCTTAATGGTGCAATGCAATCATCTGACTCATAGGTGGCAGCCATCTCAAGCCAGAGGACGAGAGGACTCTAGCCGCCATGCATATAAAGGATTTATAGTGAAAAACTTTGTTTTTACGGGTTAATTTTTTATACTTTGAAAGAATTTTTTTTTGCGATGTGAAACGCACTGTTGTGTTTTGTTGTTGTATTCTTTCCACATCTTTTAACTCATCTCCTCTTGGGCGCAACATATAATTGGCACAGAGAGAGGGGGAAGAACTGATCTCAGCAGGGTTATGCTTAATCACGTCTTAATTGGAGGCAGTGATGTTGGCGCGGCGATTAGTGCCCTAAGCAGCTAATAAACCCATCGACCTTGAGTCCCACTGCCAGATCACGGCTTACATCAGTAGCGTTTCTGCCCCCCCCCCCCCCAGCCTTCACAAATTTACAACGACCACACAACACCCATTGACTGGCATGGCGGGGGGAGACTTTCATCCAGCAGTGGATTGACAAAGGGCTGTTCCGATCCTGAATTATAGATGTTTACTTGCCCAGAAACAACACACACGTTCTGTATTGAGATACTAATGTTCGGAGATTGTAAATGCATCGGAAGTGGTAATGGCCTCTGCTGCGAAAATCTTGAATGGACCTCTCTTCGGTGCCTGGTCGATTAGTCATGCGGCTCATGAAATTTCTGTAAAATTGACTTTGAATGTTTTAACCGGGGTGGCTCGGTGGACAGAGAGCTCAGACGCTGGGCTCAAATCCAGGTTTCAGCCTGCACCCGTGATGAAAGTGGGTTCCCAAGTGTAGTGAGTTGATACACTAAGGCCAGACGCTATTGACTGCACATACGAAAACCCCCGTGGAAAAAAGAAATCTGGTTCCGCGCATAATTTGCCTGCATCCGCGGTCTGAGAATCAAAGCAATATATTGGTCTGTCATGCATAGAACGTTACTCTCAAATGCAGAGTGGGTGGTAAAGTGTTGCCCTTGACCGTGTGAACCACAACTCGTTGCAAGGGATATCGGATGCAGCTCTGTGATACTTTCGCACGAAGGGTTGCGCTGATCTGCGGGAGAGCGGAATGGATTACTCGTCTCGCGACGAAAACACGGCGCAGGATATCGACATAAAATGCGGCAGAAAATGTGGCAGAAAAATTGTGCGAAAATATGGACAGTAAAAAGAGACAGGATTATTACGCAGAATTTCTATCGGATGCATCCCTCCTTGATTTTCTTGATCGCGAAAACCTAACACCAGAGGTCGCAACCGGGTACCCGATACCCGTACCCTACCCGATACCCGGCTACCCGTACCCAGCCGGGTACGGGTACGGGTAGCCGTTTGCGACCCTGGTGCGGCCGGGTACAGGTACGGGTAAGGAATCAAAACCCGTTTGCGACCTCTGCCTAACACCCCACCCCCCTTTGGCTTCTGGAGGAAAGTTGTTTTAATATATTAATATATTATATATAAGGTGAAAGCAACACAGCTGTCCTGCTCGTTTCTATTAAAGGCAAACGTGTCTCATCTCCTTCTTCTTCACCGCGCTGTCAGCGAGCGTTAAGCCGAGCTCGTTTCTGCCAATAGCTTCTCAAGCCAGTGGCAGAAATTCAGAGTCCCGTGTGGCGAGGCCCCCCGCTTCTCGTCAAGTTGAGATGCCAACCGCTGGCGCTGCCACGATGGAGGGGGGGGGGGGCAGCCTCGTCAAGCGACGGTCACTGTAAGGGTCAACTAGGTCCGTCGTTAAAAATGACGACGACAATGATGACGATGACGTCATCATCGTTAAAGATGACGACGATGATGACGATGATGACGACGATGACGACGATGAGACCACCAGTCAATAGGGGGGCCACCAGAGTCCACGACCGGGCCGCGCGAGACCATCAAAGGTGGAGGGGGAGGGGGTCACATAGGTTCACGGCTTCGAACGCGGAAGCAGCCCTGGTTAATACTG